TTGATTTCCTGACGGTTACTCTTTTCTGCTTATCGGAAGTGCCCATCAGGGAGTCAGAGGTTGATGAGAGTGACAGACGAGCTGTGCAGGATAGGGTGACCTCATCCTTGCACAACTGTCTGAAGGCCTCTGCAGCTTTGCACTGTACACTGCTGGCCAATTTGGTTCTTACCAGGCGAGCCTCTGTGCTTAAAGGTAAGCCTATTGAGGAACCTTACCTTTCCAGGCTTTTGTCCTCTCCCTTCGAGGGTCCTTTGCTCTTTGGGGGTGCCCTTCCTTCTATTCAGAAGGAAGTTAAGGAGGACCCAGTAGCCTCGGCACTTTTGGTTTCAAAAGTGTCGACTGCTGGTAAGGCTGGAACCCCTCGGGGTTCGGACCAGGCCAAGAAGAAGGCTAAGTCGAGGCCTCGCCAGACTCTGTCTGCGGCTAAGGCTAAGTCTACCTTTAAGGCCAAAGCCAAGGGTAAGGTAAAGCAGAGTACCAAACCCTCAGGGGGTAAGAAGCAGTATTCCTGACTTCTCCCCTCCTTCCACAACTCTTCTGTTTCAGTCCGGGCAAGTAGATCAGAGGTCTCTTTTAACCGGTCTCATAACGGTCGTAGACAGCCCCATAGACGTTTGGGAAGGTCTTGGCCTTCCTCAACCAGACTTACCAGTAGGAGGTCGACTGTCCGCCTTCCTTCCTCAATGGAAGGAGATTACTCAGGACAGTTGGGCATTGTCAATAGTTGCGGAAGGATTGAGCATCCCGTTGTTACAGGAACCTCCGCTCACAGCAAAGCCAATCTTTTTCCCACCCCTGGTGGATCTAGAGAATGCTCTAGCTGTCAGACAGGAAATTGCTACTCTAGTCGAGAAGGGTGCAGTCGAGGAGCTCCCACTGCGCCGGTACTCTCCAGGCTTCTATTCCCGAATTTTTCTGGTGAAGAAGAAGTCGGGAGCTTGGCGCCCGATTATAGACCTAAGTGCCTTCAATCGGTTCGTGGACTCTCCCCACTTTCAGATGGAGACCCCGAGAGACATTATTGCCTCGGTCAGGGAGGGAATGTGGGCTACTTCATTAGACTTGAAGGATGCCTACTTCCACATTCCCATCAGGAAGTCGGACAGGAAGTATCTTCGCTTCTCATGCGAGGGCAAGATATTCCAGTTCCGGGCTATGCGTTTTGGCCTTACCACAGCACCAATGGTTTTTACCAAACTACTGCAGGTTGTGGTAGGTATCCTGCACCAGCAGAGTATCAACATCCATATTTACTTCGACGACTCCCTCATGCTTCATTCACTGAGGGAGTCCCTGGTGCAGGATACTCGACTGGTTCTGAGTCTTTTTCTCAAGGTCGGGTTCATCCCCTCCCGAGAGAAGTCAGAACTGTCTCCCTCCCAGGACTTTGTGTACCTAGGCTACCGGTTCAACGTAGCCAGGGGTATAGTCCTTACATCTCAGGAGAAATTCATCAAGGCAAGGAGTCTGGTGCTTCAGTTTATCCAGAGTTATGCGGTACAGGTTCGTTGGTACCGCAGTTTGCTGGGGTTTCTAAACTCACTAGCAGATGTAGTTCCTCTTGGCAGGCTGCACATCAGACCTATGCAGATGTTTCTTCTCAGCCATTGGGTTCCAGCGTCGCGGGATTGGGAGGCTTTTATTCCTCTCAGTCAGTCGGTCAAGGAATTTGCCCTATGGTGGACAATTCGGAACAATGTCCTGAAGGGGGTGTCCTTGCACAGGAGCTCACCCACCATGACCCTGTATACCGATGCGTCCAAGACAGGTTGGGGGTGTACCTGAACGGGCAGGCTCGCTCAGGTTCATAGACAGGGGATCATCTTTCCGAACACATCAATGTGCTCGAGATGAGGGCAGTGTTGTTGGCCATCCAGGACCTCAGGTCTTATCTGCAAGACCAGGTGATTTGCGTGGCAACAGACAACTCAACGGTTGTAGCTTATTTGCAGAAGCAAGGGGGCACCAGGTCTCACGTCCTGTGTGCCCTGGCCATTCGCATTTTGCTACTTTGCCAAGAGTGGGGCCTAACCATTCAGGTCAAGCACCTTCCGGGCAGACTCAATGTCCTTGCAGACACCCTGTCAAGACGTCTTCAGCCGGTTCTAACGGAGTGGCAGCTCGATCCATCCATATTCCGAGCAATATGTCTGGTTTGGGACAGGCCTCATGTAGACCTATTTGCCACAGCCTTGAACCATCAGTTGCCGACGTTTGTGTCTCCCGATCCAGATCCAGCAGCATGGGGAGTAGATGCTCTGTCTCTGGACTGGAAGGGGTTGCATGCTTACGCCTTTCCCCCCTTCAACTTGGTGGCCAAGGTCCTCCAGAAGTACGAGGAGCAGCCTTGCTCCCTAATTCTGGGGGCTCCCTTGTGGCCGAGGCAACCATGGCTCCCTCAGATTCTATCGTTTCTGGTGGAAGAGCCTCTGGTCCTTCCACCCAGGTCGAACCTGTTACGACAGTCGAGGTCCAGAATCATGCACTCCCGCCCGGCTATACTCCACCTTCACGCGTGGAGGTTATCTCTGGTGGTCTCGCGCAGAACGGGTTTTCTGGACCGGTGTCAGACTGTATCGCTAGGTCCATTAGGTCTTCTTCCGCAGCAGTCTACCAGTCTAGGTGGAGCATCTTCTGCGATTGGTGTGGTCAGAGGCAGGTTGATCCACTCAAGACCTCTGTTCCCCTAGTTGCAGATTTTTTACTGCATTTGTTTCGCAGTAAGAAATTAGCTCCTGGTACCATTGTTGGCTATCGGTCGGCTATAGCTGGTATCTTATCTTATGCAGGGTGACCAGAGGTAGGATCTTCCTCCTCCTTGTCTGCCCTCATCAGAGGCTTTACCATTGAGAGACCTTGAGTTAGGCGTCTAACTCCTCAATGGGATTTAGCTTTGGTTCTGGAGTCCCTTTTGGGTACTCCTTATGAGCCTTTGAATCAAGCCTCCTTGAAATTCTTGACTTTCAAGACTGTGTTTCTTGTCACCCTTGCCTCGGGGAGAAGGCGTAGTGAGGTTCATGCCTTATCAACGCATTCCTCCTGTTTACGTTTCGGCAGAAATTACTCCTCCGTGACTATCAGGACGGAACCTTCTTTCCTCGCCAAGAATCAGGTTCCGGGGTTTTCGCCGGAACCTGTTCGCATTCCTTCTCTCTCTGACCTGGTTGGTAAGGACGAGCGCGATCGTCTTCTCTGCCCTGTCAGAGCTCTCAGATTTTATCTGGACAAGACAGGGGGGGATCGAGTATCACAGTCTAGGCTTTTTCTGCCCATCAAGAGTGGCCAGTCCAGTATTTTGGCACAATCCATCTCCCGATTGATTTGCCAGGTTATTAGGCTGGCTTATGAGTTGTCTTCGGATGATGTCAGAAGACTATTCAAGGTTAGCTAGGGCCCATGAGGTTAGGGCTCTGGCAGCGTCTTGGACCCTTCTCAATGGCGCTCCTTTTTCAGAGGTTATATCCTCCGCCTTTTGGCGAGGACACACTACCTTTAGTGGTTGTTGCCCAGTCAGTGGCTTGCCCACCGACCTCAGAGTAGAGTGTTCTCTGTTTTTGATTTTTTGTGTTGATTTTTATTTTGCAATTTGGGATGCTCTATATATAAGAGCTTCTGGGTATTAAGGTTCCAATTGATTGTGACCAGTTTACCGCCCTCCTGGATTAGCCATGGTCCTGCCGGATAGGAGTATCCACTAGGTAAGACGGATTTGCATAATAATTGGACGTAGTAAGTATTGTTTTTGATATAAAATTGAGTTTTTTTATGTAAAACCCATTTTTATGATAAAACTACTTACCATGTCCAATGTGAGTCCCAACCTCCTCCCTGGCTCCTCCTGCTCCTTTAGGCTTTTTGCTTTTAGGTGTTTTTATTCGAGTTTCGAATAGAGGAAGTTGGAGGTGCGCGCGAATCCTACACCCGTATGTCCGGGTTGGACAGGGAGTAGTTTCGCATTTGCGCAGGGCATTTGAAACTTTACTTTGGGAGTTAAAGAACTGGTAGTTGGAGATAATTTGCATAATAATTGCACCTAGTAAGTAGTTTTATCCTAAAAATGGGTTTTACATAAAAAACCTCAAGTTTACAACATTAACGAAGATAAAAAAAAAAGGCTCCCAACTATACTTCCGGAGGGAACTTATTGATATAAACTCCCTGTTTAAGTCAGTGGTCACTTTGTCTAGGACAATTACATATCTCAAATACTTATTGTTGCATGCAGTTGGCAAATTTCTACACATTTTTAGCTCACCTGGTCCGAAGGACCGTGGTGAACTTATGCCATACCGCAGCGTCTGTCTGCTAGTCATTAACGACTGAGCAGATTTTGACCAAATTTAGTTAGAAGCATCCTTGTGGGAAAGGAAACAAATTTTGTATAAATGGTGGGTCTGGCCCCCCTGGGGGCTGAGGGGCTGAGCCCAATAGGTGTAATATAGCAAATTCTTTAAAATCCTCCTTCTTCTTTAGGAATGAAAGGATTTGTTCCATATTTGGTAAGAAGCATCCTTGGGTGAAGGGGACTCAATTTTGTGTAATTAGTGGGTATGACCCCCTCAGGGCATAGGGGAAGGGCTCTGTTTGAAGTTTGTTCTTGCTATATCTCAAGTTCTTGATGGATCTTTCTGAAATTTCATATGTACTTACAGCACCTACCATGGAGTGCTATATCTTTTCTTCAATTATTTCAAACATATATTCAGGTGAGCGATACAGGCCCTCTGGGCCTCTTGTTGGTTAAAGTTAACCAACTTTAATACTTGGGCCTGGTCTTTATCAGTATTACAAGTTGTAGCCCATTTTACATCTTTGATACAAACCTTTTTTCAGAGGTTGGGACTATGGATTGCTCCCAACACTTTACCTTGTTTCTAATTCAGGTTATTCCAACAGTAATGGCAACTTGTGTAGGAGGTAATAGGTTTACTAATGACCCTTGTTTTGAAGCAGACCAATCAACAGTTTGTGATTAGATTCCTTTCTGAATTTGACAGGTGTCTATACAATGGAATGTACAGCAGAAGGTGGAATTCCAGCCCCACAGTACACCATTACATCCAGTGGCGGATCCCTCAGCAAAGGTTCAAAGGCCACTATAGATCTGACCTCAGATGAAAGCTATGTTGCTTGTTCTGTACAAGTCAGCAACCACTTCCCCAACCACATCCTACGCTTCAACCTCCACGTGAAATCAGGTGAGAATATAATTGTCGCTAAGTCTTTGTTGTTTTCTGTTTGCATTTTTCCCCCCAACAGTTGAAGTGATGACTTTAAGACTCCACAGAATTTCACATGTTTATAACTATCCAAAATGTAGAATCCAAATATGTTTACAATTCTGTACAATGTTTTAACTTCTCTTTGACTCTTTTCTCTAACTCTCAACTCCCTTCTCTGGTTATTTCTCTGTACCTGACTAACCTAGTAATCTCCTGTGCTTCGTTCTGCTTCTTCTCGCTGTCTACCTGGCTGATTGGTTGATTGATGGGGCTTTACATCCTTGTTCCGATTATAATCTTGCCTAGGACAATAAAAGGGGAGGGGGTTATGGGGTTGAGATGAAATTCCACTTTTTATTTGCCCGTCAAATTTGACGGGAGTATTATGGTTTGGGTTTGTCCGTCCTTCCGTCCGTCCGTCCGCAATCTCCTCCTACATTTTTCAGGTATCTCTTTGAAACTTGGTGTACATTATAATCATGATATGAAGTTGTGTCTCCCTCAAAAGAATTTTGATTCAACAATCGTTGCAAAAGTTATTGCCCTGTGTTCATTTCAGTATTTGTTTTTTTGTCTGGAGCTTTTCTCCTACATTTTTTTGGCTCACCTGGCACGAAGTGCCAAGTGAGCTTATGCCGTGGCGCGGCGTCCGTCGTCCGTCCGTCCGTCGTCCGGCGTCAATATTTTACTTTAAACGACTTCTTCTTAATAACCGAAAGGCCTAGGGTGTCAATATTTGGCCAGAAGCAAACTTGGATGAAGGGCTACAAAGTTGGTTCATATAAATGACCTTCACCTATTTTCAAGGTCACAGGGGTCAAATATGTCAAAAACTTTAAACATCTTCTTCTCAATAACCAAAATGCCCAGGGAGATGATATTTGGCCAGTAGCATGCTTGGGTGAAGGGCTACCAAGTTTGTTCAAATGAATGACCTTCAATTATATTCAAGGTCACAGGGGTCAATTGTATTAAAAAACCTTTAAACAACTTCTTCTGAATAACCAAAATGCTCAGGGTGATGATATTTAGCCAGTAGCATGCTGAGATGAAGTGCTACAAAGTTTGTTCAAATGAATGACCTTCACCCATATTCAAGGTCACAGGGGTCAAATATGTT